ACCCCCACCAGGTGGCTGTGGCAGGTCCGGGCCCCTTCCCTAGTGGCTCCCTCACCACCCCGTCTTAGCAGGCTCTACTCACCGGAGCCTGTGACTACTGCTGTGCGGTTCTCCAGAGGAGATGGGCGGGGGAAGAATTTTTTGTGTGTGGCTGCACAGGCATGCACCTTAGCAGGAACTATGCTCCAGAGGTCTCTTCTGACCCTATGTTCTATGATGTACATCAATGAAATACTGAGCTCCTTGATAAAATGTGCACACTATAAAGAAAAGTATTGTAGACGGAGCCTGTGACTACTGCTGTGCGGTTCTCCAGAGGAGATGGGCGGGGGAAGAATTTTTTGTGTGTGGCTGCACAGGCATGCACCTTAGCAGGAACTATGCTCCAGAGGTCTCTTCTGACCCTATGTTCTATGATGTACATCAATGAAATACTGAGCTCCTTGATAAAATGTGCACACTATAAAGAAAAGTATTGTAGAAGAATTTGAACCATCATTGAAGAAAGAACATTACATTTAAAACAAACAAAAACCTCCATGTCAAAGAGCAGAAAAGAGAATGGAAAAACTGAATGTTCAATAACTAAATGGTCCTGATAATAGATATGAAATCCTGTTTTATGTATTAGCTATCAAATATGCAGATTATTTTTAAAACCTTAGGCTAATTGAGAAGATCCAGAAGATCGGGGGAAAAAGTAAAACAGATTTTTTTTTCAAAAACAAGCTTACCATCAAATTAGTAAACATTTATAGACCATTGGAAACATAGCTTTCTAAAACATAAATATTGCCAGACACACCTAATTGCTTTATTTAAAATAAAATAAAATAAAATAAAATGAATCCAATAATTTCCATCTTACCTAAAAATGTAACTCCAAGTACCTTGGATGTGAATGCTATTGAGAATTGGAAAGTGCTATAAAACAATAAACAAATGGCTATGATAAATGGCAGCACACAGACTAGGGATAGGAATGTGTCAAGCAGCTTGTTTAGGTCTAGCCTTGATTAATTATCTGGGAAAAAGAAGAAAAAAATGCTAATGAAATTGAGGAGTTGTAACTACAAGCAAGGACAAGTCAAACAATAGAAAAGAGCCTAGATGTAAAGATGTTGGAGACATGGTAGAAAACAACAAAATGCAACAGGTGTTGGAAAAAATGGAAATTGATAGATGTTGAGGGAAATCTGAAACACGCTTGTGCAGAGCTGGTAAACCTAGTAAACACTAATGCTGATGTACTAATGATTATGGACAACAAATTGGACATGATTGTAGAGCGATGTGATGGCAATGAAGTCTGTTGCAATATTAAGCGGCTTGTTCAGTGGCATCTCCTCAGAGAACATAGAGGTAATAATTCTTCTCTACATAGCTTTCATGCAACCACATCTAAAATTTTGTTTTCATTACTGAATTTCTTTCAAGAAAAAGAAAAAAAAATGAACGTGAGCTTATGAAAAATTAAAATTTCAAATATGTATAGTTTGTCTGAGAGACTTAACAGAATAAAAATACTTAAATATCTTGCAGGAGGAATAGAAATTGAAGAAATCTGTGAATATCAGCAAAAATGTTGTGATAGGGAAATGTATTGGGCTCTTGAGTGCTTAAAGTCCATTCACTTGGGATTTTAAAATTAGACTACAAAAAGCCACTCAGAAATGGATGATAGGTAACAATCTTGTATTAATAACTAGATAGAAAAAGAGACCATCCAATCCACTTTAGATTACAGCTGTGTTCTGCTATGTATAAAATAAATGATTTACAAATTCTTTTGTCTCTCATCTCCCTATAAGGTACAATATAATCTCATTTCTTCATCCCACTATCTCCATGAAAAAGAAGTTGGAATAAAAGGACAGCTCTCAGGGCATTTCATAAATCAGACGATTTTGCCCAACTGACACAGGAGTAAAATCTAGAAGGAGGGAGTCTCTTTTAGGCTACGTCTACACTGCAGGCTTTTTGTGCAAGAACAACTGTTCTTACGGAAAAACTTGCAGAGCGTCTACACTGCATGTGCATTCTTGTGCAAGTAAATTTACAGTACAACGTCGGAAAATGGCTTCTTCCGGAATAGTTATTCTTCTCCCCATGAGGAATAAGCCCTCTTGCGCAAGAGCTCTTCCACAAGAAGGCAGTGTAGACAGGCAACATGAATTTCTTGCACACGAAACCTCTATGGCTAAAATGGTCATCAGAGCTTCCTTGCGCAAGAGAGCATCCACACTGCCATGGACGTCTTGTGCAAAAGCACATGGCAGTGTGGACGCGCTCTTGTGGAAGACCTTTTGCACAAGAACTCTTCCGCAAAACAGTTCTTGCGCAAGAAGCCTGCAGTGTAGACATAGCCTTAGATTTTAAAAGCTTTGCAGTAAAGATAGGGAGGAAGGGAAGGAACTTTTGTGCTTCTTTCCACATTAGCTGCTTTTCCACCATAAATAAAGAAATGGAATATCTGGAGTCACTTGGTGTAGAGGAGGATCGATTTAGCAGGGGGCAGGCAGAAGAGGGCCTGTGGCATGATTTCATAAAGGTTATGTGGTTATATTGTAAATCATCGATATGATGGAAATTAAGGGTGAGCAAAAGGGCTAAGAGATCAAATTGTGACTGACCTATTTACCTTATAAATAATTTTTGCCATATTGCCTTTTAGGGGAAAAATGTTTATGAAAGTGCAATTCCTTCTGCTTTCAGCATTTAAAAAGGAATGAAAGAGGATATGATCAATGAAGAGATTTAACAGCAAATTCTTACAGAAGTATGTGAGGATTTAATTTTTAAAGAGATTAAATATAAATAATCTTTCACAATTTGGGTGGCACAGCAGGATGGAATGAGACATATGGTAGTCCCACATCCATCTGTTTGGCTTAGTTTAAAAAGAGAGAAAGAGATTCTTTTTTATGATAACCAACCTATATGCTATCCTACTGACAGATTTACACTCAGAACTACTGAGTTTTCCTAAAATCATTGGCTAGATTGGGGTGGGCAATAATTTTTGAAGAGGGACCACTTCACCGATGTTGGTAGTGGTGGCGGGGATTTAGGTGATGGGGTGGGGCCTAAGCAGAAGGGCGGGGCCTCAGGCACAAGGAGCGGTCCCCTCTAAGCATTACGTGCATGGGGGAGGAAACTTTGCACGCTCCCCCGTAGGTTTCTTTCCCCTCTCCCATCTCATGCAGGGTGTGCTGCACCCAGAGGGAACTAGTGGCCATTTTGCACAGCTGGTGGTTCTCTCTGGTGCCGCACACCCCTGGTGGGGGGAGGAAACTTCGCACACTCCTTTACCCCGATTCCCTCGGGGGTCGGGGGAGTATGCAAAGTCTCCCTCCCCCGCCCTAGTGGGGCACATGACACCAAGATGGACGAGACAGCCATTTTGAACAGCTAGCAGTTCCCTGTGGTGCTGTGCACCCCTGGTCGGGGGAGGAGACTTTGTGGGCTCCCTCCTCCCCCTCTGGTCTCAATTGGCCTGGAAGCGGGGGCCTGGCGGGGCAGGCTATGGGTTGGATCAAACCACTTGGCAAGCTGGATCTTGTCTGCGGGCCGTATCTTGCTCACCCCTGGGCTAGATGATTATCTTTGAAAATGCACCTATTTTCGATTGGCAGTCCTCTTCAGGTTTTATATCCTTTGTGCCTTCACTTACCTTCATGGTACAAGTTAAGTAATAGACAATGAAATGTTTACAATAAAAAAGAAACCGAGATTGTATAATCCGTGGTAGTGCATGAACTCTGGGCACGAAGCTTTGAAACATTTAGAAGCATGCATCCGATGCACACCAAACCTGTGCATGAACCAAAGACAGTTATGCTTCTGGATGTACAGGGAACATTTTATGAGTATTTATTAACTTTATGATAGCCAGGAATGAAGCTTTCATGTTACTATTTTGACTTACTGGGTGGTTTTGCTTTTGTTTGTTTTTTAGGATCATCGTTTCCTCCCTGAACGTGGCAAGCTGTCTTCAGATCATGTACAATGGGGCTACAAATTCATTTTGTGTTTGATCCACAAGGGTGGTGCTGCATGGGCATGATTATCTTTGTCTGGCTGTACAACACACTCTTCATTCCCCAAATTATCCTCTTTCCTCACTATGAAGAAGGACATACTTCAGCTGCTCCAATATTGTGTAAGTTGCATTGAGTCCAGTCTCTCTCTTGTATTGAGTTTTTAAAAAGTGGTATCTGTGTGGGCAATAGCACCTACTCTGATCTACGCAATGTCAAGTTCCAGAATTCCAAAGGAAGGGAGCAATCCAACAAAAATCCATCTTCATGACAACTCTTAAAAATCCAAGTTCCTCCTCATTTTTTAAATAAAATAACATAAGAACGGCCATACTGGGTCAGATCAAAAGTCCATCTAGCCCAGTATCCTGTCTGCTGACAGTGGCCAGTGCCAGGTGCCCCAGAGGAGGTGGACTGAAGACAATGATGAAGCGATTTGTCTCCTGCCATCGTTCTCCAGCCTTTGACTAACAGAGGTCAGGGGCACCATTCCTTACCCCCTGGCTAATAACCTTTTATGGACCTAACCTCCATGAATTTATCTAGCTCTTTTTTAAACGCTGTTAGGGTATGTCTACACTTGCACCTTAGTTCGAACTAGGGATGCAAATGCAGGCATTCGAAATAGTCAGTGAAGCGGAGATTTAAATATCCCGCGCTTCTTTAGCATGATCTCACCGGCACGTTACTCCAGAGGCCAGCTGTTTCCAAAGTGAAAGTGCGCACCAGGACGTGTTAGTTCGAACGAAACCCCTTGGTTAGAAAAACTCATGACAAAACTAATTAATTTGGTCTTCATAGCAGTGTTTGAATGGTGTGTAGTAAATGAACAATGAGAAGAAAACAAATATTAATCACCTGCTCATTCAGTGAGCACTGTCCATTTTGTGTGCTGGATGAGGCAGCAGTTCTGTGGAAAAAATATAAAGCAATCATGAAATTAAAGACTACCGTAATGCAGTTGTACAAAGAGCCCAGTTAAATTTGCATAGGCAACTTTAATTTTGTTATTTTTATAACTTTTGTGTCTTTGACTTTGCAGTCTTAATATATGTGTATGACTCCGGTCATCTGAAGAAGTGGGCTGTGCCCATGAAAGCTCATGATACAATCTACGTATTTTGCTAGTCTTTAAAGTGCTACCAGACTATTTGGTTTTTTTTTTTAGTTTTTCCTGTTACAGACTAACTTGGGTACCCCTCTGAAGCTTTAAATCTTAAATGTTCCTTTAAAGGTTTTGTGTGGTGAGTGATGTATATATGCAGTATTTATATGCATAAATACAATTATGCTTTACATGTTAATTAAGTTGCGTTTGTTTAAATCAGATTTACTTTTCAAATCTACCAATTATTGCAGCTTCTTTTTATTTTTTTGCACTATTCTGTTGTCTTGCCTCATTCCTATAAAGTACTCTTTTGGTGTGCTGGAACTAAAGATGTAAAATCCCGTTTAATTAGTTAACCGGTTAAACATTAACTGATTAAATGGGAACGGTGGGGGGCCACTCTAGCTCAGCTGGGTTGGAGTGCTCCCCCCAACGCCTGTGGAGAGGTTCTGCTCCAGTCCAGCTGCTTCCAGTCCTGCATGGGGCTGCTGGTACCCAACCCCTTGTGGGTCTGTTGGCTCTCAGTGGGCGTGGGCTGGGAGCCGGCAACCCTGTGCAGAGTTTGGGAGGAGGGGCTGTTCCCCACATACCAGTTTACCGTTACCTGGTAAGTATCACCCATGAAAGTGATGCTTACCAGATAACCAATTAACCCTTTAACATCCCTAGCTGGAACTGATGTAAATGTGAAACATTAAGCCATGCAGTCTTTTGCCAAAGATATACTTGATGTAATATTCTGCATATTTATGTATTTGTTTTTCAGGCTATTATTTAGTCTCATTGTTTTGTATAGTTTCGTTATTGAGAGCCTCCATTGCTGATCCAGGAAAACTACCTGAAAGGCCAAAGATACCCCTTACAGGTACTATATTGCAAAATGTTTCTAAATAATACATTATTGGTTGCTTTAAATAATCTGTAATATTAGTTTTAATAGCTGTTGAATACTCTTGTTTGCAACCACTTCTTTGAAAGCCAGACAGGATTTGATAAATCTAGTGTTGATGCTGTTATGATAGAGATGAGTGAGGTTGTGTGATCGAGATGGCCTCTGTGCTGGATATCATTGGCTGCTTTGAGAAGTTAAGGTTCCTAAACAGTACCGGAATAATCCAAGTACCTCTCTGTACTACTCTACCAATCCGCATAGCCCATTAGTAGGAAGGGATACTATGTCCTGTGATGTAGGCCTTAGTGAATCACCATGGGAGATTTTTGGACATCAACATGAGTTGGTTTGGAAAAGTATATGTGAAGATTTATTTAAAACTTAACTGTTTTCCCCAGAAGCCAAAGCATTACTCTTCTCTCTAGTAATATGACAGGGTGTTGCACTATTAATGTGGGTGGAATATATGGCCCCAAAGAGTTAAGGTGTTAACTTGACCCAGAAATTATCTAACATTAAGTAGTTTTAAACATAGTTTGGGTTTTGGTATGCAGAGACCTCTGTCTGTTTAGTACCATGGCAAACTCAAAAATCCTTTTTAACCTTTTATTAAAGATACAGAAAAAGGACAAACTGCTAAAGTATTGAATAAGGCTGTCATATTAGCATAGTAAAGATGGTATGGAATAAATCCAAAATCATTAGTCTATGATTTCTATTTTTAACAAGTGCCTTCATCTTTTTTATTTTAAATCTGAAAAAAAACATAGAAAAACTACACCAGTTTTCATTGAAATTCATTCTGAAAGTTTACATAGGGAAACACTTCATACTGTATAGAAATGATGTATGGAACAAATTTTAAAATTCAGTTTGGCACTTTTTGAGCCGCCTGCTGGCAGCTTCCATCTTTTCCATTTTGCTGAAAAATGACAGTTGCACACTGGTAATACAGAAGCCCAGTACCCAAGCTCACTAAACTAGTAATAATGCCAGATGGAAACTGATTTACAATCTGTTCCCATAAAGCCAGTGTCATAAAGATTTCACTCTTTAATAAGACAACTGTTGTTAACAGGAGGTTCAGAAATACCCAAAGCTAGTTTTCAAATATTAGTTATACCACACAAAAAATGTCTCACTGTATCAATCTGCTCAGCTCTACAGAGCTTACTCAATGCATAACTACGATATTTTTTTGTCTCAGTACTGTCACTAATGGAACTAGATGCAAGAACATTGTCACATTTATCCCTAATTGCCTAGTTGTCAGCAGTATCTGCAGAGCTCACTAAATGAATAAGGCATGGAGAATGAACCACCCTCTTAGTCAATGGAAATGTCTACATGACTCAGCATGCTGCCCGGGCTAAAAACAACTACACCTTCCTCTCCCTGAGCAAACAATTTCTGTTAGTGGTACAGGCTCAACTGGGAAACTAGCCTGGCATTGGCCTTTAGAGGTATAAAGCTCAATGGCAGCAGAAAGGCTAAGGCTTAAAGCAAACATACTAAAAAAAACAAAGAGTCCAGTGCCAGGTAGACTACTTATTCATTCCATGAGAATTTATTTAGCAACGATCCCACTAACAAGACAATGACAAGTCCTCTGACAACAAGGAGAACCTACACCTGGAGAAGAAGGGGCAGCTCCTACTAGCCAGGGACAGCAAAGCCAGGACCATCAACAATAGAACCCTCGGGCAGAGAAATGGAAAAAGTGAGCTTCAGTATCATTGCCTGCCACCCTCATCGTCTCCAAGACCCCAGAAATTTCTAACTAATCCTAAAATATGTCCTGACCTGGCCAGGCCAGAGACAGGTAGTCAGGCGATATCACCACCTGCAGCTAAATCTGGAATACCACATAGGATGTGAGACCTTGAGATCTCACCTCCGCCAGTGTGTCCATTTCCTTCCCCGTTTTGTTTCTTCTCTTTTTTTATTTCTGGAGGGGTTCAGGACCTGTGTTCTTAGTTTGCTCCCTATATAAGTCCTTTTAGTTTGAGCTGAGGCACTATTAGTTCAGTTTCCCCCCAGTTGGGGCCTATCTGCAGGCTCCCCTTAGAAGGTGGAAGACTCACTTGTCTCCAGTGGCTAGGAGATTGCCAGTCTGTTACATTTCCCCCACCCTATGACTCCATCTGGTGTCTGCCCCTGCCCCACATAGCTCTCCACAACCTGTGAAAAGAAGGCTACATTCAGGTGTGTTCTCACGGCCTAGTGCTGGATGCAAAAGGAAGAGGATTTGATTCTGGGGTATATGTCTTTCATGGCATGCAGCCAACAGAGAGGGCCATGGTTGTGACTAGAGTACCCACAAGATAACCGAGTGAGTCCACAGCTCATTTTACTGCCAGTGCTACTTTCTCGATTAAGGAGTAGGCCTTCTCCCTCTGGAACAGCTTTCTTCCTAATGTATAGGATGGGACATTCATCATTTCCACTACCTGAAATAGAACAGTTCCTAGGCTGACGTTCAAGGGACATTTAGAGTTTGAAAAGTCTCCTCACAGGCTCTGATCTACTGGATTCTTTTAGGACTTTTATTCTTGAGGAGTTTGGATGAGGAACACTAGGATAGTGGTGTAGTAACCTGCCAGTCCTAGAAACGGGTGTACTTGCTTTTTTGAGGAAGGAATGGGGTATAGCTGGAGGACCTAAACTTCGAAAGCTAAGGTTTGAACTGTGCCCTTTCCCAATGTGTACCTAAGATAGATGGTCTGATGTTTAGTGGGGTTGCCATAGGCCAGGTTCCTTGAAGGATTGTAGAACTCTGGTTACGTGATTTAAGAGGTTCCGCCAGTCGCGACTATTAATTACCACATCATCTGGGTAGGCAGCTGCATAGTGGCTATGGGGGTGAGGAATATTATCCATTAGTCACTGAAATGTGTCAGTGGCTCTATGCAAACCAAAAGGTGTGGTCTGGAACTTGAAAAGCCTGAATGGGTGGAGAAAGCTGTCTTTTCTTTGGATTCAGGTATGAGTGGGATCTGCCTATATCTCTTTGTTAAGTCCAGAGTGGTGATGTACTCCACCACTCCTAGTCAGTATAGCAGGTCATCAAAATGCAGTATCGGATGTGAATTGAACTTTGGTACTGTGGTGACCTTCAGGAAGATGATGCAAAATTGGGTACTTCCATAGTTTAGGGATTAGTACCGTACGGCATTTCCAGTCATTGAATCATCCTTAATGCTATCATCTGCTGTTTCATGGTCTCTGTTAATTCCTGGAAAAGGGGCTAAGTATTTTCCCTGATGTTAACTCCTGGTTCCATCTGAATATGATGCGTTATCAGCTGAATCTGTCCAGATCAGGTTAAAATAGCAGGGGGAAGGAGGAGCAGGGAGAGGAGGAGAAGACAGTGATTAATTGCAGTGCCTAACTTTTCTCCTCTGGGATAAGATTGTTCCCCATCTTGAACCCTCCTGGTGTTGAAGTCTCTGCAACCTGCATGCCTAGTTAAGACTCTGGTGGGTAAAACTATTAATAAACCATCCTGAGTATTCCATAGTATTAAAAGGTTCACATGGTAGACTTGTTGTATATTACATTTGTTGGGTTGTTTGATTTCAAAGTTAACTAGTTCTACACATTGGAACACCTCATAAGGATCTTGTCAGTGGGCTAGGAGCTTCAACTCCAAGGTGAGCAGTAACAACACTGTCAGAATCTCCAGTTTGGGCAGCAGGTAGGGCTTGCAGCTGGGAGGGGGTGTAGTCTGACAGAGTTGATACTAAAGACTGGAATGTCCCTTTACCAGGGTCTGCAACCTTCCCCCACACCTTTGTAGCTTCAGGTCAGCTCTGTGGCTGAGGTAGAGGCCCTCAGCCATTGCAAGGAGGTTGCATCAGCTCAGCTAACAATTCTGCAAATTAGTTGTTGCCTAAAGTAATGACAGAGTTGGTCTGAGAGACACCTTCCTATCAGGGACTCTTCTTATCTCCCCACTGTAAAGTTATTTTTGTATGGGAGTGGGCCCGCATATCTCTGTGCACACACTTTAGCCTGATGCCTGCGTTTGCCACCATTTTTTATAGTACCTTAAGGAGCTGGACAACCTAGTGGCTAGATCATTGGTTAGGGGAAATTGTAGGGGGACCTGACCGCTCCTCCTTCCTCCGGTCCTGGCCCAGGGTCTTGTGTCATTGAAACTCCTAAGCAGTGAAGATGGATTTTTCTTGCAGCCTGGGCTGTCCCTAATGGGATGCAGGGTCCAAAAAAGCCATCCTTCATTCTGCCCTAAAGCCAACCCCCTTCCCATCTCTTCATACCCCTGTTCTGCTGCCTTCTTTCCTCCATTCTACTGCTTTCCCCAAGTACCCTCTCTGAGCAACACAGTCCAGGGTATTAGTGGGAGAAGTAAACTGGTACTGGCAGCAGGTCACCTGGCCCACCTCCACATACTACGGCAATGGCAGGAAGTGGAGCAACCCACCCCCCACTCATTCTGTTCAGCTGGCTTCCAAGTCCATCACTTCACTTCCTGAGTGGGGGGGAGTGGTTCCATACTTTCCTCCAAGTCCCCTTCTTCAAGTGCCATGGTCTGGGAGATTAGCAAGAGATTTGGCACCAGGCAGTAGGGGTCGACTCCACCTTACACTCACTGGTGACAGGAAGTGGAACAGCCTGGTGTTGTATATTGGGTTGTAGATATAGATCTTGTTGTTATGGTAACTGAGTAGGTCACTGGGGTCAGCCCAGCTAGTCTGGGCTTGTTCTGGTGAGTTCTGTGCTATGCAATAAAATGGACACTTGCACCTACTCCAGCTCTCTGCCTTTCCACTGATTTCTTCCTATACTCTGAAACTCCCCACGACATAACAGGTACTGTTGAGGTTTCATGTGGTCTTTGTGCTGACGGTCATTTACATCTAAATGCTCAATTACATCTAAATCCTGTGATATCTGTTGGGTGGTACTGAAGCATATTTTGCTAGCCTGTCAGCATGATCAGGGTGCTGGGG